TATCATGTTTTCATTCTTCTCTCGCTCTCTTCATTGTAAAAATCCAAAATGACATTTAAAATGGTCACACTCACAGATATGTTTATTATGCTTTTGTTTCAGATTATAAATGTTTCATGTATCACTTGATATGTTTTGTAACAATAAATACTTAATATCAATTCTCTATAAAAATCAAAATGACGTGGCCAATTTTTTTCTCACTGAAACTTCAATGAATGAAAAGATTGACTATATGAAACAAAGCATGGTAGTTTACCCGGTTGCCATGGAAACGGGGCTAAAATGTGTAAATTATAGTGAATATTGCTATTTATCAATAATATCAAAAAAAAAATTACTAGGCAACGCTGTTAATGTGCGTATTTTTTTATATGCTTCATGACAATCAAAACTATGTAAAAAATAGTGTATGTCACAAAGTTTTTACAATTTCTAATTTTCTGATGCCAAAAAAGTGAATAATTAGTCCTCGTTACCTCCCTTGTTAGACTTAATATTTAAAGACTTTGACAAGTGATGTGAAAATCCTAGTAGGAAGATTTAGATTCACAAAATGTTATTTTGCAAATATCATTTAAAACATTTATGGGTAAATGAAAAATAAACATTTTATTACACTATAAAGTTGGTCTAAATGTGCTTTTTCTCTATCCGAGTTATTTCCCTTGTTGGAGCTCTTCGGCATTGAAGAATACAAAATGTGTAAAATGTAAACAAGATGGCAGACAATAAAATCTGCATTTTTTCTTCTTGTTTTGAAACATCTTGTTCAGGGAAATTCTACCTCAAGAGACTCAGAATTTGATGAAAAACAGTTAACAAAGCAGGGATAATCTTTAAGAAAAGCCGAAGGGTTGATCTGGACATGATGAGTATTACACATACTATAGCTACTCGTAGAAAGGAAAATATGAGGAAATCAGGGTGGTATGGGACAAAGGCTGAGAGGATTTTAACTGTTTCCTTCAAAATGTCTACTGTTTCCTTCAAGATGTCTTTGAAATAGAGATCGAGAGATACATGTAATGGTGTGGTAGTCCCCGACCAATCCTCATTGCAATGTGTAAGTATTTTTTTATATCTGTTGTCTCATGTACCTGGTAACTGACTGTATATTGAAATATAAGACAATAAAAACAAACAAAACCATGAAAACTTGGATGCACAGTTGCATATATTACATGTACATGACATTGAATCATATACTACTGTGAAATATACATGTATGTGCCAGTTTTGGGTACCGGTATTTTATTTTCTATAAAATTCAGTATATTTGAAGAAAATTGTTTGTATAAATTTATTTTTCTAAGTGATAATATGTTTGTGTCCATTCTATTTTAAAATTAAACAGGATTTGTAGAAATCATACCAGGGAAATATTAAACCTTTGACTTTTGACAATGATAACTGAATAGTGGGTTAGATTTTTTGAAATTTTAAGCAATATCAGGACCGTAGAATATTTGAAAGAATTGATAAGAAAAAGTGTAAGTGTAAAATTATGAAAATTAACTCAGTACATGCAGACACACAGATATACAGCTGCTAATAGTGTTCTAGATCTAAGTACATATACTTTGTCATACTATGTGAAATCTTTTTTGGGACCTTGATACAATTAAGTTATTTGCTCTGCAAGGTAATGTATTGTTAAGTAGGTAAAGAAATCTATTCAAGAGTGTTAGAATGTGACAACTCCATTTCATTTGTACTTGGAGTTCCTATAAATTAGTTAATTGTCATGAAGCACTCTTTATTAACTTTTCTAAGATGCAGCTTTCTGTCTCATAATTTTATTTTACTGAGCACTGTTTTTCAGCTATATATTGCAGGCATTTCAATCTTGCACACATTTATGAATAGTTTTAGTTTTACAGTATTGATCTGTACAGATGAGATCATTCTGATGCTGTGTACTTTACATGTCAAGGACATATTGTACAAATTAAAAATAGTCACATTAAAAGAACAAAATAAATTATACCACATAACATGTAGTATCCATAAAACATGTATGTTTATATTACAATTAATTCATGATATAATAACATTTCATTTACCACTTTAAAAATTAATTGTTGTCAAATTCATTTCTACTCTAGATCTCCGGCAATTTGTCTAAACCGCAGAAAAGCTTTAACTGTGTAAATTGAAAAAAAATGCTTGATGACAACATTGAATCCCCTCCTTTAACAATCATTCCTCATGATTCAGAAAATTTTCAGGATAACATTTAAATATCAGGTACATGTAATATATATTTGATGTTTAGGATTTTAACCCAAACTTTCAAATTAAAAAATAATTTAAATTTTCAGATCATTGCAGCCCTTGCAAGATTTTCCTAATGAAGATTCTCAGGATTACAGATCCTCTAGCAAGGAGACCAGACAGGTACATGTATTGTGTATTAAGTTACATGGATTCATGGTGACTTAAGACATGATTGCCATGACAATGCATAAAGGGAGATAATAATGTTTAGAGGTTGAAAATGTATATGTTTTATATATAGCGAAATTTTAAGATTCCAGTTTTAGGTTTTTAAAAATAATTTTTAATGAATTTTTATCCAAAGTGACCAAAAATTAATGGTATTTTTTTATTTTCATGTGAACAGATAGAAATGACCAGAGCAGAGGACACACAGCCCCCCCCCCCCCCCCAAAAAAAAAATTCACAGTGGACAGGAAGTAATTTTCACATGAAAAATAGAAAGTAAGAAAAAGAACAGAAAGAAAAGAAGATCCAGTAAAAGTTGTCACTGCTGACTGGTGCAAGATGGATATAGAGAGGGTTTTCTAAAGATCATTACTAAAATCCACAGCAAATTGCAAGGCTGAGCTACTTTTCAAACTTATACAAAAGGACATAAAGAAATGTGAATTCGAGGAAACCAAGCTGACATCAAATGAGAGAATATGAGGGAACAAATTTTAACAGAATTTTTTTTAAGCAGAGCATCTGTTTTCCTTAGAGAATATGTGTATTCTAAATTGATTCTAAATTGATTTCTTGTATTTTCAAAAATGTCACTGTTTAAGTGGAGCATACATTCCAATGTCATGTTTATTTCTTTTCTATAAAGGCAATATTATGAAAAGAAGCAGTTTCTTCCCTTTTTATATCCCCACTCTGCAGGAGAGGTGGTATACTGATTTATTATATACCCCCACATGGGCTCATAAATTTATAGTTTTATACTGGCAGGCTTCACACAGTATGTCATGTATGATTAGAATATGAATACATTTTAACAAAACTGAGAACAAGATTAATTGTGAAACACTGATTCCCCCATACATGGCAGCTTATACCACGACTCCCACATGGTATCCCAAGAAAGATCTTGTCACAAGGAAAACACCTCTGAAATATGAAAATCCAGTCCAACGTCAAAAGTTGTGGTTAAGGTTAAAGTTTTTTTAAAGTTGGTCAGTGTCTAAGGTCAAGGTCAAATGGTTAAAAATATTTATACCCATTTAAAGAACATAATAGTATAACTGATCATCTGAATATGCTGATAAGCATTTCAATGTGATAATAAGAATTAATTCCACAATATTTAGCATATAAGGGCATTTAAAAAGAATTTGTTTGCCTTCCCCCAATAGACTGACTAAAATTCAAAACTTTTTTTTACATTGCAAGACAGGATGTTTTTTTTTTCTTTTTATCCATCTTATCTCATCAACAAATATTTTTAAATTTTCTGGGAAAATGATTTTTCAACTTACCTACTGACTTAAGGAGGCTGGGGGGTCAACAAATTAACCACAAATTAACCACCAGATTTAACTTATTTTTTTAGATACGGTATCTTAAGCTGTCAACTATCATTTGGCAAAGAAAAAATTAATACATTTTAGTTTTAAAATTTTATCATTTTTGTATATCTTTATATGGAGCTCTTCCTTTAATGGAGATCAGAATAGTCTGAAAATGGCTGCCACCCCCAGCCTCTTTAATAATTTTACCCTGAGTTGGGTGAGGGCAAACAAACATTATAATCAAGATGGTCTTGCCAACTTGTTTTGACATTATATTGTCTGACTTACTTTCATATTTTCGTTAGATACTTTAATATCATTTATTGAATATGAGTTTGCCTTTTTACTTAAATTATACATTTAAAAAAAATAAACAAATGTTTTGAATTTGAACATATTTTAGTGAATAAATCAAAGGGATTGGAAACAATTACAGGCCAGCAAAAGATTTGTAAGAATTGTTTGAAAATCACTTGTTTTATTTCATATTTAGAATAAAGTAACTAGAAGCCTAATTTGTTTCCATGGCAACATATTAATTTACCTGTCTCTGAGTTAATTGCAGAAGTTCTGTTTAATTATCAAAAAGAAATTTAAATACTTGACGTATATTCATATAACATAACAATTTGTTCAATTTGGTAAATTGGTAAAACATGTTCTTTGATGATATTCTCTGTTATTGTGATTAATGGGGGGGGGGGGGGGGGGGGTCAACAATAATTTCTAGAAAGCTGTACATTTACCCACTAATTTTTTCCATTCTCATAAAACATTAGAATATATAGTTTATTTAATGATACATGGTTACAAATATATCAGTTGTCAAAATGGTGAAAAATTTCATTGAATATGACTTTAAAAAGTCAATATTGGCAAATTGCCAATTTTCATGCAATAATTTCTAGAAAGTTTTTGATTTACTCATAATTTTTTTTATTCTCATAAAACCTTAGAATATACAGTTTATTTAATGATACATGGTTACAAATATATCAGTTGTCAAAATGGTGAAAAATTTCATTGAATATGACTAAAAAAGTCAATTTTGGCAAATTGCCAATTTTCATGCAATAATTTCTAGAAAGTTTTTGATTTACCCATACATTTTTTTTATTCTCATAAAACCTTAGAATATATAGTTTATTTAATGATACATGGTTACAAATATATCAGTTGTCAAAATGGTGAAAAATTTCATTGAATATGACTAAAAAAGTCAATTTTGGCAAATTGCCAATTTTCATGCAATAATTTCTAGAAAGTTTTTGATTTACCCATACATTTTTTTTATTCTCATAAAACCTTAGAATATATAGTTTATTTAATGATACATGGTTACAAATATATCAGTTGTCAAAATGGTGAAAAATCTCATTGAATATGACTGAAAAAGTCAATTTTGGCAAATTGCCAATTTTCATGCAATAATTTCTAGAAAGTTTTTGATTTACCCATAATTTTTTTTTATTCTCATAAAACCTTAGAATATATAGTTTATTTAATGATACATGGTTACAAATATATCAGTTGTCAAAATGGTGAAAAATTTCATTGAATATGACTGAAAAAGTCAATTTTGGCAAATTGCCAATTTTCATGCAATAATTTCTAGAAAGTTTTTGATTTACCCATAATTTTTTTTTATTCTCATAAAACCTTAGAATATATAGTTTATTTAATGATACATGGTTACAAATATATCAGTTGTCAAAATGGTGAAAAATTTCATTGAATATGACTTAAAAAGCCAAATTTGGCAAATTGCCAATTTGCTAACAGCCTAAATGCTGCGATGAAAATTCGCTTAATATCCATTCAAATATCTTGAATGAAATTTATTTCTGAGATTTAAGTAATATGAGCTCAGAGAATATAATTTTCATGGGAATTTATACTAATTTATTGAATGTGCACTAATTTCATTTAAAACAGAGCAAAATTGCTTAATCGGAGGGTTCTAAATATAACATCCTTGTTACCATGGCAACCAAATTGAAAAGTTAGACTTTAACATCATATTTATGAAACATATGCCAAATGTAGTAAATGGTGTGAAATTCAGCTAAATCGGAGACATGTCATGTCCACGACCCTATTTAAAATTTTGATTTTTATAGAGAATTGATATTAATATATCACACATTATCTGTATGTAATGTTTATTTTTTGTAGAATCTAGTTTTATAGATACAGACTTGATACACATTATCTGTATTTAATGTTTATTTTTGTAGAATCTAGTTTTATAGATACAGACTTCAAGGTTTTGTGTTGCATTTAATAGTATTTGTATTGTCTTTTTTCTAAACATACTGAGTTATCTCCACATAACTTACACCTTTCTCGTTTGATTATAGATGTCAGTCACTCATAATATTTGTCGGTCATGTGATGCCTGTGAATTTTGTAGTTTCTGTTTATTTATAGTGCCATAAGTAACTGTGTATTCAAAGTAAACAGCATGCTAAGGCCATGTAAAGTTAATTACTTGGTTCTCAGGCCTTTTTTCAAGAAATATGATGAGGGAGGGAGGCATTTTTTTTTATTTTTTATTGCCCCCAAAACATGATGAGGCAGCTTTTTACATTGTACAAAACCTCAAAAAATGATGAGGGAGGTGATTTGGTGTTTATATTTTATTGATTTAGCAATAAAAAGGGTCAATGAGGCACCCTTGGAAGAGATGAGGGAGGGCCTGAGAACCAAGAAATTAATTTTTTTTTGCCTAACATGTTATAAAAGATTGCACAGTATATAATAAATGACTTACGGCACACCAAGTACCAAAAATGTTCACTGAGTGCATTTAATATATGACTTACGGCACACCAAGTACCAAAAATGTTCATTGAGTGCATTTAGTAACATTTTTACCGTTTGCTTGCTTAAGAAGGATTTTTCTAATAATTATAGTTGTATTTTCTTAAATCCTTTTAAAATTGTCACATTTAATATTTTTCTGACACAAAATGTATGTAGTTGGTAAAGAGTTGACAGGCAAAAGGCTTTAGAATGCAATAGTATAAAGTGTACAGTTCAATAGGAAATATATGACCTTAAACTTAAATTTTTTTGAATCACAAATCTTCTCTAGCCTGCATTGTTTTTATAAAATGCTTTTTGATGTGGAATACCTTTTAAATGGTCCTGACATTTCAAGCCAAATAATATAAACATACAAATGTGAATGCTTTAAAGAATTCACTCTGTAACTATGTGTAGTTAGCAGCTATTTATCACAGACTCGAAACTATATAGAGATTTTATAGAAATCATAGTTCATGTCAGTATTTGTTTTATTCCTTTTTGTCCCAAGGACTGTATTGTACTTGTTTTGTGTGTTGAAAATAAATGTTATATTTTGACATCTTCCTCTTTTAATTTTTTTACGCTCATTGAATTGATGAAGGGGGGGGGGTTGCTTGTGTCTCACCATTTTACTGAAAAGTTAGAACCTGACTAATTGGGATGTTTACATTAGCATCAAGGGTTCTTGAAGGATCACAAGGATCAAAAGGAATTCTGTTTTGTATATTTAGTGATTACTTAAAATCAAATAAAGTATTCTTTGCATAAAGTCAAAGAATATGTTTTCTTCTCTAGAAAAGTTGTTCTTGTTTTTTTTCTGCAACTGCTGCAAACCAGTGGGTGCTAGTGTGTTCTTGTCATATTTGAACACAAGTTTAGACATTAGGCTTAAATTCAAGCCGTGTATTTTTTTCCAGTTATCATGTAAGAGGATTGAAACATTACAGTGGGGGAATTTGGTTTTAGATGTGATGTGTGCAGTTTTAAAAATGAATTCAGTGCTTATTGATTTTGAGATGTGTAAGCACTGCCCAAGAAACAAGGTTAAAACAAGAAACAAGGTAAAATGCATCTTCTTCACAATTTTAAAATACTTTTCTTTGAATGTGTGATGCTTCCATATACATATCCCCTAAGAAGAGATAGGATTTAAATGTGCACTTCCCAATATTTTTCTGTTAATTGTTCATGAAGAATTAATTAAATATAAGATCTTTTCTTTGCAAGACACATTTGTACCATGTTGCCTGCATAGTAAGTGGTTAAGGGCATCTGCTATAGAGTCATGAAGTAAGGAGGTGGTCCTTACTTTGCGGGTTCGAATCCACTGTGGGACACGGAGACCAGTCACTCAGATGAGACCATATAAACCAAGGTCTTGTGTTACAGCAGGTGTTGGCATGAAAAAGATCCCTGTCTACCCAATAGCCATATTTGCAGCCCTCCACTAACAAGTGGTGAAGTCTCCATCTGCATGAAAAGTTAAACAACATACAAACAGAAAACATTGTACCATATACATTCCACCACATCTTCATCCAGTATTGAAAAAGTTTCATACCAATTGTAAGGTCAGGAAAAGCATAAAATACAAGAAAAACGGTGGTGTAATTAGAAGGTTTTTCAATGTTTAAATCTGTAGCTCTCTGCTTTATCTGTCTGAATTTTCTCAAGCAGAGAGCAACAGTTCTGCAGCTAGCAAAAATGAGAACAGACCTAAGTGTATTTAACTTCTGATTTATTTCTAAAAAGTTGACAAATTCCTTTTTAAGGAAAAAGGAATGTCCATTACTATAATAAATTACAGAGTTATTCTCTCTGTCCACTGTTCATCTCCTCCCACAAACATTGATATCTCTGGTTGCAATCCTCCAAAGTCCATGAGAGACGTCACTACTGACGAATATAAACAACATCCAGAATGGTATCATAACAAAATACAGAGATATTTCCTGGTCATAATACTGCAGCTTCATACACAGAAGAACTTGGAAGGCCATCTTTAACAACACAAAACACATGTAACACACTTTCCGCATCATGGAAACTTGTCCTTGGTTGTATCTGTTTTTACACTGCGCTATCATCTTAAACGTTATGTAGATCACAATGACGCCGTCAAAAAGCCACATCGGATTAAAAACCAGGAACCAGTTCCATTTGACTTTCTTGTCCAGCTTCAGGGCTAGGAGTATGAGAAACGCCAACAGACTGATGCAGGTGAATAGAGATCTGTGTAAAATGGCCATCGCTAGATTTCTTGGGGAAAAGTCTCTCCGGTATTTGCTTTTAAATTGATCTTACATTTTTACTTTTTGACTATCGGAGTTTGTTTTCATCTACGTTAAAATACGTCTTTACAGAAATGTGTCTTTATCACCTTTTCTAGAGCGTTTCATTGAGGGAGAAACCGGTTGTAGTAAAGAACAAAACCAAATTTCAAATCGGACTGAATTTATCCGATATAATATTCGTTTTATATATATGTGTATTCTTCAAAATTAATCAAATGTTTGGAAATTATAAAATATATATATTAATACATAAAACATGATACTCTTCTCTGGATCTTATCAAGTGATAAAGAATGGAGGCGTACAAGGCGAGGACAATACCCCGCTCTGAGAAAAGACATTTCTCAATTCTAAAAGTTATATTTTTCAACATTATATGGTTTATATAATATTTTACACAATTAATTCTGCATTTCATTGTTTTAATATTTCATTCATTAATTTATTTTTCACTTATGTTTTTAAGACATGTGAAAACAAAAAAAGAAAAAGCTTCACGTTTGGTTCGAACTCTCTCAATATATAGTGCAGGATTTGGTCCAAGACCCACCGCTTTAACCACTACGCCACGAAGGATATGGATTATCATTGTCTGTCAGTGTGATTTAAATGAACGGGTTTATTGAAGCGTACCTTTTTCAGAATATTCGATTTTCATGTAGAATGGGTTCAGATTCCATTTAATTTTTTGGACACTTGAAATAGATTTCACATTTACGTTTCCATCATTTAACGAAGAATGGAGTCGAGACCCATTCATGTTCTAAATTCATTCCTTATAGCTCTAGTTAACCCATTTTCCACTAAATATGCTTAACTGTCAACTTTGAAATAAAGATACTCAAATGATAAGTCGTTCAGTAAAATAAAATAATAAAATGTTTTTACAGATGAAAATACTGTGAACATGATGTTAGAAAAATATAACTTTTCTGTAAATTTTGAAAATTGAGAAACATTTTATTTCAGAGCGGGGGATTGTCAACGCCTTGTACGTCTTCTTTCTTTCTATTTAGATGAAACAAATGGAGACAAGAAAACATTGATGTATCCATCAATTGTCGCCTGGGAAATAAATAAGTGAACAATGGAAATGAATCTTGATCATCAAACCGCTTCGATATGTGTGAAAAATGATTGAGACGATAGTCGAGAATATTTTGAAAACTTATAGTCGGATAAAAATCGAACAAAAACGATACCCTTTTAAACTTTATCAATTCCTTAGATGTTGGCTGCATAAAATATAAAATTGAAACCAGACACATGCATCACATGTTTTTAAAAATGTATTTCACTTTAAGAATATAAAACAAGAACTGTGTAAAGTACGTTTTTATGCGATAGGTAAAATTCGATGTTCTAAAAAAAGGGACCTGTCGTTTTTTCGATAGAAAATGCATGATAAGCAACTTTATATATATGAAAAACATGAAAATTTTAACAGATTCACTTTATAGAAGTAAATATATTGTGCATCTCGTAATTTATAAAGGGAAAAAACATTCTGATTAACAATCTTTTTAATGTTAAGAAAATCTTTAATTCTGAATAATTGCTCCCACCTCAATCCCCATACACCAAAACTGAAACTTATATGTATAGAGCAGCCCGGTCCTCCGGGCTGCAATAACGAACAGTATTCAAGATCAAAAGTCCATAAAACATATACAGAATAGGAGCAGAGCAACCATCGGAGGTGGGATCAGGTGCATGGAGAAGCGGTCATCCCCTGCCGACCGGTCACATACGCTGTGTGCTTCTTGTCATGATCGGGAAATAACTGAAAAATCCGTCGACAATTCAGTATGAAAATAATGGTCTACCGATAAGTATGAAAAAAAAACGTCACTAAGCATTAGACTTAGTGATAAATTGTATTTGCTTACATAGACTTTGACTTTGAAATGATGACTTGATTCATTGATTGATTGATCATATATAATTGTTTAACGTCCAATTCGAGAATTTTCACTCATACAGAGACATCACCGTATGCCGTTGAAGGATTCAAATTTAGACCTATACTCGGCACGAGTTCAGGTCTATTGAGCAGTGAGGGTTCTTTATCGTGTCAACGTCTACCGTGACACGGGACCTACGTTTTTAAGGTCATATCCGAAAAACCCGTGATTTTCACTTCTAATACCGAGCGCTTGGCGAAGGAACAGTCACTATACCTATGCTTACGTCTTAGGTTTGACACGGCGCCGCGAACGAGAATCGAACCCGGACCTCCCGATCACGAAGCGAACGCGCTATGTGGCAACGCACTTTGAAGAAATTACGCACTTTGAAAAAAAATTTCAAAGTGCGTTAAAATTGGGACAAAAATCAACGCACTTTGAAAAAATTTCAAAGTGCGTTAGGAGTGTACATAACATTTTTAACCATGGGGACACTTAACGCACTTTGAAAAAAATGTGCATAAAACAAATTCTAGATTTATGGATTTTAGTTATTGAGAGAATCAACTCGTAATAATTATTTCTTTCGAAAAACTTTTTAATTTACGTGTACTCATTTAACCTCATTGAGAACAAGGAGAAGACGAGTAGAAGGTCTCTCAGCCAAACTCTTTTTTTCTTATACATTGTACCTATAGCCGTCGGTAAGAAACTGAAAGTGGATCCCCCCAATTTTCAATGCCTAAATTATGTATATCTTTGTAAAACATTTGTGTGACTACCCCCCCCCCCCCCCCCCCCCCCGGTACAGATGCCTATGCTGTAGACACCCAAATATATGTAGAATGCATGCAAACTGGAAAAAATTAAGAACAGTTAAACAATTAAGAGAAAAGAATTTTCAAAGTATGGAAAAATCAAAATCGCTCACTTTTACTCCCTGAAGTGACCTAATCATCGAAGATTTATCAAACAGGTTCAATTATTTATCATACCCAAGATTTACAAGAATATTGACCAAGCCATACACATTTTTTCAAAGTGCGTTAATATGGTCGACATTAACGCACTTGAAAAGAAATTTATTTTTTTTTCAAGTGCGTTTAGTCCTAAATTTAATGTACATGTACTTTGAAAATTTTTTTCAAAGTGCGTCATTTTTCAAAGTGCGTTGTAACAGCGCTACCACTCGGCTTCCGTGACCGGTATGGTGACTTGAAACGAGATTGCTGATATTCTTGTTTCATCAACTTGCCTGCCATCTAACCACGATAAGCTACTTCGTTTTAGGAATTGTTCATACAAAGAGCATGCTCTTGCGTATCGAATCAGCTGAGAGATATGAGCCCCATATGCAGGTGATGAAGATATATTGCTGCATAGATAAGGGAAGTTGACTATTGAAAAGTTAAAGTCAACACGCTTAGCATAAAGCTTGGTTGTTAGATTACCATTAGCGTCTTTTTATCATATAGAGAAGCTAAGGGGATGTTAACTTCAGAAATATTAGTAGATATCAACTATAATATAAGAACCTTTATTACATTTTTACCCGTGAAATACCGTAATTTATTCATTGAATAAAAATGATATCCTGTCACAGTGTGAAAGGATATCAAAATGATATCCTGTCACAGTGTGACGAATATCAAAAGTGCGGGAAAACTCGATTTCTCTTCCCATAACGAAGATTGCTGTAAAAAAAATCTTCCTTGACCTAATATAAGATAGATGGAAATACATAAACCATTCTGACAGCGAATAAAACTGTCAAAATTACGAAAATATGTTGCTAAATCCATGTTTACAGTGTTTTCACCTCACTTAGCTATGACGTCTCAACCGCTCAACTATGACGTCACGAGCCTATGACTGTATTACAAAAAGACAGAGGCAAAGGAAAAATCAAAGATTTTTTTTTTTTAAAATGTAATAAACAGAAAATTCAATGTTTTGTAGTTGAATATGGAATTTATTTCACTCGTGAGACAGGATTTTTTGATATTTTCACTCGTGCTTCGCACTCGTGAAAATATCAAAAATCCTGTCCCACTCGTGAAATAAATTCCATATTCAACTACAAAACATTGAATATCCTCTATAGATAATTTAATGATATCGACATTTATATCGCAAACTTCGTTACGTTACAAAAAGTACTAATGGCTGAGTATATCACAATATAGATATCTTGGAAACTTCAGTGCCGGACAATGTGGGGTCACTGCACCGGGTACCCCTACCAGTGACTCATTAAAATACCTTTGAAAAGAAGAAATATAATATTTGCTACATATTTCTTGCTTTTATAAATTCTTAGTGTTTGTCAAACATACCGGTATATGCAAAGTTTCACCGAAAGACGTTTATTATAAAGAAAAAATATGTACAGTGTCTCAATAATTTCCGAAGAGCCCTCGTAATGGCATGAAAATCATAATATTGATAGTATCTTCGCTATTTTTTGATGGACTTTTCCCAAAGTTTTCTTTTTTAATCTTTGGAAAGTATTATGTATTGACTGACGGGATATCATTGTGTGTAATTATGTTCCCCAAACGAAGTTGGGGAACATATTGTTTTTACTCTGTTTCTTATTATTATTATGTTCCCCAAACGAAGTTGGGGAACATATTGTTTTTACTCTGTTTCTTATTATTATTATTAAGGTCTTCCGACTTCCTTCGGAAGACCTTATTGTTTTCCGTCGGTTTCCTATTATTATTATTATTATTATTCTTTTTTCATAGTTATGGCGATATCTCAGCTGTGTCTGTACGGATTTCAAAGATTTTTACAGGAAAGATGCATCACATTAATATCTCCAGACGTATTTTTCATTTTTTCAAAATTTGCTTCCATTCGCGATTTTTGGGGAAATTTGTATTTTTTAAATGGAATTTTGTACCCCAGTTTTCTCGAAAACGGCTAAAGATATGACATTGAAACTCATGGACATGAAAGAGTATCACATGTAGATGTGCCGAACGTCCTTCATTTTTTGTCGTTCCTACTTCCGGTCGCAAACGGAAGTGAATTCAAAAAGTCCAGTTTTTCAACTTTTTTGTTTTTCAATATTTTTCTTTTAGATTTACAGGGGTTATAGAGCGTCTTCAACGATATCTATATATGTTTTCATTTTTTTCATGCGTGCGTCTAT